GGTGGAAAATGGCATGGCCTGTTCATGAAATTTCCAGGAACATCCTAGCCTCCCCACTCACTTAAATTCTTAGGTGACAGAGAAGTCACCTGAGACACACACATGGCAGGAGGGCTTCTCTCCCTTGCTCAGGACCATAGCCAGCCATGACTCCACAAAGTTCAAGGCCTTCTGTGACCTCTGGATCATTTTCTGTCTCCTTGTAAAGGCTCACCCCAGCCTTCTTTGTTTCCAAGCTCCCTAATACAATTATCTTTTAAGACAGAATCTCAGTTAATATATCTCATCAAAAACTCGTGCAAGCACAAGTACCCAAGTTCAATCCCTGGTACCAAAAAAAAAAAAAAAAGAACTCTAGTAAGTAAAAAAAAGAAAACAATTTGGGTGTGGTGGTGCACACTTGTAATCCCATGTACTCCCGAGTCTGAGGCAGTGGGATCACAAGTTCAAAGCCAAACTTTACAACTTATTTAGACCCTGTCTCAAAATAAAATTTTGAAAAAATCAATAGGCAAAATTGGATATCCAAATAGCTGAGAAGCATATGAAAGAAGGCTTGACACAGTTAGACATGAGGTAATTCACAGGCCTCAAAATGGTTAGAAATAAAAAAGGCTGAAAACTTGCTGTGGTGGTGCATACCTGTAATCCCAACAGTCTGGGAAGCTGAGGTGGGAGTGAGGTAGGATAGAAGAAATAAAGTTAGGTAGAAAGGAGACAAAGAAATCAAAATTTTAAAATTTGTATTTTAAAGAAAAACTGCAGCTTCAAACTACAAGCCCGGCTTATATACTTCTTTCCTTCTCCCAGAACAGCAAACTGGGCAACTCCCTTTCAGGTGCAAAGGGGTCTGCCCATTCCCTCTTACTGGCATATGGTTCTTTTTCATCCATGAAGGGACCACCCTTTTGGCATTTTCCCTAGAAATAGCTCACAAAATGTGGGCCATACTTTAAGACTAGGACTATAGATTGTCCCATTCTACATATGTCCACCTCCCAAAACACATAAAGGATCCCCACGTCCCAACTGTACTGTGCTTCTTTCCTCTGAGCACCTGCACTGCGTCCTTGTCCTGTATCTTGCTCTGATAAATCCTTCCTACTCTTCTTTTCCTGGCACAGTCTGCAAATTTGTTTTCTGTGACCAGAGTCAGTGAGCCTGTATACTTAGATTACAGGGTTAAATTCCCCTTTTCAGCTTTGGGGACCTTCAGACCCAGCCCATCACAGGAGGATCATAAGTAGGAGCTCAGCCTGGGGAATTTAGAAGACCCTTTCTAAAAATTCTTTGAAATTACACACACACACACACACACACATACACACACACAGTGCATATGTTTTGATCTCGTGTATAGGACATCTAGAAAAAGCTATGTGGCCAGTCTATGTGGCTAAAACCAGGGACAATGGCATACTCAAAATGCTAAAGCTGACCAGAAGGGGGCTTCAGCGGACCACAGCAACCTGTATCTCCTAGAGCGACCAGTACCTCTCTTGGGGTGATGGTCACAGGGCTGTGAACACCAAGTTTACAAGTCATTAACAAATCAGTAAGAGTACACTGCAGTTTTGTGATTCAGCTCTCAGCTATGGGTAGGAGGGGCTAGGCTTCAGGCTGGAGGAAGAAGAGGGTGGGGTATGAAACCGAGGCTACGCCTGAGGTGTCTAATTAAGCCCCTACCAAATAATAAGTCTGTGTCCGCAGGCAAGTCCCTTCCTTTTCCTGGGACCCAGCCTCCCTCCCCATCTGTGGAGCAGGTCCAGAGATCCCCAGAGATCTTTTTTTGCTTTGGCTTCTTTTGTGGCAAGATGGCATTTCACCTCTATTCTCCACCAGCCTTCTGGGTTTAATCCCTCCCCAGCAGCCACAGCTGTTCACAGGTAGGTAGACAAGCGCAACCAATCTCCACCCCCACAACCCCCTCTCTGCTGTCCCAGCTGCTTGTGATTCTGAGCGTGTCTTTGCCCCAGGCTCAATGTGCTCGTCTGCACAATAGATCCGGGCATACCTACTTCTCACCTTTGTGAGTATTTTCACCAAGTATAAAACGCCTTACTTGTGTGCTTCCTGTAAAACAGGGCTTCGCTATGTACAGGCCACGCACGCTACAAGTGCTTCATAAATGGGCCGTCGTGGGGACGGTGGGAATTTCCTTATAGGTTGTTAACATCTTTTTGAGAAAGATCCGTGCGTTGCTCATAGGGCAAACAAGTGGGCAAAGCATAGCCGCAGCAGAGAGGCCGAGTTGTTTTGTGGCAGCCAGAGCGGCGTGCGGGCCCTTTAAGAGCAGAGTGGAATGTATCAAAACAAAAAGACCGCGCGCTTATTGGCCGCACGCTGCACGTGACTCACAGCTGATTTCCTGCCCCCCCCCTTTTTGTTGCTGCCGCTGCCGAGTGTCAGTTTCTGCGCCTCCGCCTGCTTTCTATCGGCTCGGCCCTGCCGCCTGTGCTCCACGGTCCCGGCAGCCCTCGTCATGGCGCA